AAAAAGGATGATATCGCCGAGAGCGCTGGATACCCTCGCCAATCGTCCCCCAAACAAAAAGCGCAGATCTTCAACGAAAAGCGTATGCAAATGCGCGATTTTTTCATAGTGACAGTGCGGGGGTACAATTTAGACGGGGGTGGAAGGACCTCTCTCCCACGCTTGCCTTTGTGCCTTTTCGATACTGTGAATATCAATTTGAATCTGGTTCATTGTTCCTCGCTGAGCGACCCGCATCTCTCAGACGACCTGGAATTCGATGTGAATAACCAATTCAATTAAGATACGAATCGACACGTCTCGATCGCAATTGCCAGCGGGCTGATTATTGAAATTGTTAGACAAAGCGATAGACAAAGAAGACAGGGGGTATGGAGCGATCCCATTGGTTGAAATTTATGGTTTCTATAGAGTAAGGGAGGAAATGATGGACTAACTGTAAGGCCTCTCGTGCATGGGTTGCTGTTAGTTAGTCTATTACCTACCTCTTTTGTCTAGCAACCACTCGCTTCTACCAATAGGATCCCTCTATATCCCTTTTGTCTTCTTTGCCTACCGCTTTGTGGGCAAAGATTAGTAGATTAGTAGGCGGATGAAGGGGGCTGCCACATGGGCCGCGGCCCATGGCGGCTTTAGGGCGGCGGCGAATTTTGCAATTTTTTAAATGTAGGTATAAAAAAAATCGGATTCAGAAAAAAAAATTATCCATGAAAAAAGGGGACAAAATCTCTCTTTCCTGAGAGTATAGTAATTTCTAATTTTATCGTTTTTCGGTGATAAATGAGACAGCATCTTTAATTAGTTGAGTTAAGAGAGGAACTAAATACGCAATTTGGCCTGGAGCTCAGCGCAGGAAGGAAATATGACGAGGACTTAAGATGAAAAGGACTGCGGTCGACATGTAACACATATTAGCGCCTACAAGACTGCATGAATACTTCACCCATTGCGTCAAACACCAGTGCGCCGATCAGGAGCAGTTGGCGTGAAACGCGTAGCGCCTACAAGACTGCTAGAATACTTCGCGCATTGCGCCAAACACAGTTCGATCAGCCCGGCGTAGCGGCGGAAGTTAAATTATTAAACCACATTTATGTTTGTTCTTTCAAATTTTTGGTTCATTTCTTATAAAAGGAGGATCTTGTTCATGCAGAGATATGTTTACGGAACTTAACTTTCGCACTTAGTTCCGTGAAATTATCCTAGTAGAGTTTTCAGGGCTTTCGCAAAAAATGTACGCAACAGGAGTAGGTAAACGTGTCTTATGCACCCCTCCCCCTCCGGCACGTTCACTTGATGGTTTTAATTGATGTTTCAAAACGAATGAGAAGGGGGCGGCAAGTAGGTGAATCCGACCTTGGCTTTGTCTATCATTCAATAATCGGCCCGTAGGTTCGACTGGAAATCAAGATGTTTTACGGTCTCGAAGAAAATATTTTTTGTGTGAATATTCTAGAGTACCTTTCTTCTCGCCCCTTCAATTTCCATAGAGGCTGCGGGACCAAAAAATCGTGGCGCTTTGTTTTGGTTTTTGAGGAAGGGAGAGGGGTCAAAAAAGAAGATGTCCTACCTCAACTTATTTTTTAATTATGCTTCGAACAACGACCTTTTTTGATTAGGAAAAAATAGCCTCCTCCGTATGAGACAACGGGATTACACTGCGAAGAGCCTGCATCGTATAATTTAATTATAATTACGGTTGGACCTAGGGATGGGGAAATTCCAAGCTGTCCCTCTGTGCTTCATAAGCACTTGCAGACCACTCCTAGTCGAATATCTCATTTCATTCTCACAAAAAAATATCATTCTAAATACCTCTTTTCACAGCAACGCTTTTCTGTAATTTAATGTTTGTAAAAAAGGTCAATGAACCAAATGATCATGGCCTTATCAGTGGCGTGCGAGCCTTGATTAATCTGTAATTTAAACCTATGGAAAAGTATCGATAAACAGGGTGTTGGCAACGAACACCCTAATAATCGATTCTTTACCATAGTCTCACTTGAGGGAATTCCGCGATGATAGATCATTCACGCCTCGCCACTGGGCCTTCCTTAGGTGATTTTATTTCCTTTTGACTCCACGCTGCCATTCTGACTACGTATCTCGCATGCGGTTTTTATAAATCTCCGCTCTCATTTTACTTTTTCGAAATAGAACAAATTAACTTAATTTCGTGAAATTTTAACCGAGTTTTCTTTGCACGGGGAGGAAAAACGCGGAATTTTTCACGAATTGACGTCAGGTAGTATTACTTGTCTAAAACTTCGACTGTCACTCTGTCTTTCGTTTTGTCTATAAATTTGTGTATCGCTTTATCCGTGACTTTGTCCACAGTGTGGTTATAGCTTTGTCTATAACTTATGTTGTCTTAAACTTGTTTACAATTTCTTATGCTGTCAGACGGTCCATCTTGAATGCTCTGCGTTTCTAAAAGACGGAAGAATTGGATTGCATTTGCAAGAGGGAACCAAGAGCATTCCAATGTTGCTAGGATTGTGCAACATGCATTCCTCGCAATAAAATTACTGAGATTATGAAAAAAATTAAATGTCGTCTTGAATTTATTGATTATTCATGGTAAAGATAAAACTTGTGTAGATGATCAGTTTATATTTGTAGGGTAAATAAAGTTGCACAATCTTTGCGGCATAGGAATGCTCCTGGTTCCTTTTTGCAAAATGCAATTCATTTGATGCAGTTAAGGAGTGCACTCTCGGTTTTCGGACGATTACCGCTGACGGTAGAAAAGTCGAATAAGGAATAACGCTAAGAGGGACTGAAAGGTCCTCAAAGGGGGTGGGGGAGGGAACGTAAGCCCCTCTCATACTCGTGTGGAGTCAAAAGTAATCGAAAAAATATCCCTTTGAACTCCGTCTTTCATGTCATTACGAGTATTATACCAGACTTCATGGTACTTTTGAGTTTCTTTGACGTAGCTTCCAGTGGCGTCAATTGCGATGTATCGATTGTTATGCGATTTAAACCTATGGTGAAGAATCGATTATTAAGGTGTTTGCTGCGAACACCCTGTTCATCGATCCTTGTCCATGGGTTTAAATGGCACAGCGATCGATATATCGCAGTTCACGCCACGCCACTGTTAACTTCGACAGAGAGTTTCTTCCTTTTGTAGTTGGTCTAACCTCATTAAATTATTGGGCTGCGTTGAGCCGAGTATTCTACGATAATGTCCCGATGAAACTTATTCGTAAGCTGATTGAGTCACCTGTCATAAGGTTTCTCCCTTCTCGAATGTGCAGCACAATGAGAAGCAGACGAAGCCCTGCCACGTGGGACATAGGCGGTTTTAAGTATACGTGCGGATATGCAACCTATTTACGTATCCAAGCTGCCTACGCAACGCACCTCCTCCTAAGCACAGCCCACTTCTTTGATGAAACTCCTAAATTACGTACCTCTGTTGGTGACGTTGCAGATTTTCAGTCTTTCATTCATGGCTTTTGCCCAGTAATTTAATGAAATAAGGCGAAAAAGTCCATAAGGTCGGAAAAAACCATACGTCGAGGGGTTTCTTACTATTCTGCAGAGACATCTTTTGCGTACTTGATGCAGTTGAGTCGTTTTTTGGCATGCGCGACAGTACGGGTGTAGGTTCACATGTTTTAAACTTGCAACAATATTTGTATCTTAAATTATTACGTTACACACTTAGGGGAGGGTGGAGGTTTGAGCCAGCATTATGGTGCGTTACAAAGGGGGAGGGGGTTCAATCCCAGCCTCACGTTACAAATCCGAGCAGAAAGCGATTATTGAAATTGATAGACAAAGCTATGGACAAAGGAGACAAAAGGGATATGGAGAGATCCTATTGGTGGTAGAGTCCCTTTATACCCAGAGTTAAGACAACTCGATTATCAGCTGACTGGCAGCCGGCCTTGGCTGGCCATGGAGGCCGAAACGAGTGCACCCAAACGAACGATATTGAGGGGTAAGGATCAGGAATCCTGCGATGTCTGTCACACAAAAACAACAACATCAACAAATTGATCAATTAAAAAGAAAATGAGATTGGTTTGTGAGTAATTTCTTAATCTCTTTTCATTTTGGACCGATGGAAATGACAATTTACTCTTGATAAACCACAATTAGGTGATATTTTCATTATTCTTGTTCACATTCGAGGTACCGCCATCTTGGTGCACTCGTTTCGGCCTCCATGAGCGAGAACCAATCAGAATTGGATTTTTTTTTAGGCCACTTTCAGCCGAACCAAAAGTGAGTTGTCTTAACTCTGGGTATAAAGGGACTCTAATTGGTGGAAGCGGATGGTTGCAATGGACAAAAGGAGGTAGGTAATAGACTAACTAACGGCAAACCACGAGAGCTCCGACAGTTAGTCTATCATTTTTTCCCTTTGTCTATAGGAACCATCCATTTCAACCAAAAGGATCGCTCCATACTCATACTACATATGTCTTCTTTGTCTATAGCTTTGTCCATCAATTTCAATGATCAGTCCGGTGGGGGAATAAACTTTGAAAAAAACGTGCAAAGAATTGTAAATCCCGCTCTTCCGGAATGAACCATTGCTTTTCTCCTCCCGTCGTATTTCAGCGAAATACCTAGCTAAAAAAAACCCGCATTTTTTTTCAAGCTGTTTTCTCAGCGTTTTCTTGATTTTTTTTTTTTTTTTTTTTGAAAATTTGAGGGCTCAAGACAGCGTTACGTAATTCAAAGGGGAGGAGGGTGTAGGGCTGCGTTACGGATGCATTGCGAGAGGGGAAGGGGGAGGTAAAAAAATCGGAAAAAGTGCGTTACGTAATACCTGAACGGCCCCCAAGTTTCGAAGGTTGGTTGATGGTAAATACTTTTATTAGGAGGTGCCTTGACAAAAAAAAATAAAATGGCGGCGGAATTTTTTAAACATCGCATTGCGCTTGTAATACTTTGGCTGGAAGGTGACGATATAACGAAAATATCATGTTGAATGCATGCTAATCTGCGAAAAAGTTCGAATTTAACGAGAGTGATAAGGGGCCCCAGTGGCGCAATCGGTTAGCGCGCGGTACTTATAAGACAGTGGTCGCAAGCTATGCCGAGGTTGTGAGTTCGATCCTCACCTGGGGCACGGAAATTTTAGTTCTGAAAAATTCCGGTGTCTTCGATTTGAATGGCTCGATCGAAAATAAATACGCCCTGTTGCGGTCCCAAGCTGTAGACTGTAAAGTAGTTAAAGCATTTGCGGTTTCCAATCTGAGGCTTAATGACGATATTTTAAAATTTTAATTTGCCATATCGACGTACAAAGCAGCATCTTCATGGACGACGCGGACAAAAATCGGTAAAAGACACTTAACTTTAAATAATGCAGATTGCAGCACCGACATATGAAAACCCTTTGGCACTATCAAAAGAAAACACTCGAGGAATTAGAAGAGTACCTATGTAGGAAGAGTACGGACATTTCGAAATATGGAGCTTTTAGGGCCCAAAAGTTAGTCAACTTTTGAAAACGAAAAATGTCATTGCCAATCTATAGATTCCAATATCAAACCAAAATGGCCAAGCATGTTCATAAATGAGCGTTCTTCCGCAAAAGTGAGTAAATGTATGCTAAAACTAAGTCAACTACGTGCTTTACCAGCGAAGGATCGTAACAGTTGTAATAATACATCACTCTGAATAATTTGAATGCATAGATTGGCTGCCCTTTTAGACCCTAGAAGCTCCTTCACCAAGCCTCAAAATTACGGACTTGTCCATGCTCTCCCTATACAGGGTGATCCAGCGTTAAATGACCAGACTGCAGGAACGTGTTCTATGGGTCAAGACAAGACTTTTTTGTTGTATAAAGTTTTTTTTTCCAAATGTGCTCCCAGTCGGAGCGATGCCCCCCCCCCCCCCCCCCCCCCAAAATGTCGGAAAGTAAATCGTTTTTCCTGAATTTTGGCAATGGTTGTGAACTAAATCTCATGAAAACTTGTACTCCCCTGTAATTTCATGCCCTGAATTCATAAATGAGGGGCTTGGAGGACAAGCCGCGAAAGTGCAGTTTTTGAAAAAATAAAGATATGGATGGTTTCAAGTAGTGCCAGCTTTAATGCATATTTCGTGACAAATTCTTTCCAAGCTTCAATTTTTAAGCATCAAAAAGTGTGCTTGAACTTTCTTTCCTCCATAAGGATCCACGAAAGTTCGAAACTTCAAACATGTATTTTTCGAAATAGTAAAAACTGCACTCATGCACCTCGTCCTTCAAGCACCTCAAATGATCTAAATAAAATCGAAATCTCACTTTAAAGAGGGGGTTTGGGAGTGTTTCGGCTCGTGCAGTCTGGCCGTTTAACCCTGTATCGCCCTGTGTAGGCACTCTCCCCGCCAAACGTGGCAATAAGAGTGTCTTCCGGAAGGGTGAGGATTACAATCTTGAATCGATAATTTTATCGCATTTAGCTTCTCCCAAAACAACGGCGCTCAAGAATAATTAATGACTGTATGCATTTGCCGAGCCACAGAATCGCGGTCTGCGTGTGGGAAGAGCAAAACTCAGCACCTGTTGTCCGTATCCTTCGTGCATGCACAATGGTGGGAGAGTCGGGCGCAGCTTAAAAGGGACCAAGATGGCTTTCGACTCTGTTCTCCCGGGGGCCGGATGGTTTTGCGGTCCTGCGAAGTTCGCAAGATAGGATAAGTGAACCGGAACGCCTCGAACGGGTGTCCTCAGCAGAAATTTTCGCAACTTCTATTAGCAGCCCGAATGCACCACGCGAAAAGGAATTGACTTTTCAGGTTCGTCTGCTAAAACGCATAACTTTGTTTGGAAACCGATGGTACCTATGTTGTTTTCAAACGAGTTGGAAAATCGGTTCATTTTTGCGTCGCATCGTCCTGTTCGGATGTCTCCGATTGTGGTTAGCTCCTGTGAATAAGACAAGATACTTCAGAGGTGCCAGAACTACTCACCCACGCAGTCTTTCCAACTAAGGGGTCATCCATAAATAACGTCACCCATTTTTTCAATTTTTTGACCCCTCGCGCCCTCACCGTAGCCAACCGCTATCCAATGCTAGACCCCTCTAAATATTACGTCATCCTTACCTTATTCCTCCTTTTTTGAGGGGGGGGGGGAAACTCAGAAAATCGAAGAAAATCGTCAGAAATAGTCTTCATCTTTAGGATAATGATTATAGGTAATTTCTGTCATTGAGCATTAAATACATGTTATAGTCTTTCCTCCCTTTTGAGAGAAAACGCAGAAAATCGACAATAATCAGTAGATATAGTGAAATTTTAAGCAAGCATTTTCAGCCTTTTTGCCTTCAGGAAAGCTTAAATCATCTTTGACTTGATCCCTCCCTCCCTTCCAGACAATGGAGGTGTTGCATGTGTGAGGAATTTGCGATTTGACTGTTGATTCTTATGTAAAAGTTCGCGAGAAACACGATGGTGCCACTGGTTTTCTCTGAAATCATCTCCCAAGCTCAAAAAAAGCTCTCAAGTTGAGGCCAAAATGGAGGGGATATCCCACGCTATTCTGAGAGTTCACCTCTACATCAAGACAAACTCTCCATGCTGAGATTGGGAGCAAATACATTGACAGGACTGCCACCTTATTTGGGGACTCTTAAACTGAAATCACGGAAACCCTGTCAATGTGTTTGCCCCCTATCTTTGCATGGAGAGTTTATCTTGATGTAGAGGTGGACTCTTAGAATAGCATGGGATATCCCTCCATTTTGGCCTCAACTTGAGAGCTTTTTTTGAGCTTGGGAGTTACTTTAGAAAAAACCAGGGGCCACATCGTGTTTCTCGCGAACTTTTACATCAGAATCAACAGTCTAATCACAAATTCCTCACACATGCAACATCTCCATTATCCCCCGCTAGACCCCTTCTCCGTAATTGGTTGACGTAATTTATGGACGGCCCCTGATTTTCCGTAATAAGGAAGAACGCCGTATGAGCATTCGAGAGTTGCCAAATTTCCTCGAATAAAGTATGTATTTTAGGGAAAAGTTATGCATATTTTTCCCTGACACTTTTAGATATTTTAGATTAAATCGCGAGAAAAATTGTCTGAAAAGTTGAAGGAATAAGATAAATAATTTTTCCCGGTAAATACGTACTTTATCAAAGGAAATTTGGCAACGTCTGAAGGTTCGTACAGCGTTCTTCCTTAGCAAGGCAGTAATGCACAAATCACCCTCAAAGTTTTCACCCAGGACTTTTTAACCTACGGATATTCACCAACAACCCTTTTAACTTATGTATTTTTTTACCTACAAGCGTTTCCATCAAATTGCAAGTTAGGTACAAAAGTTAGATTTAAAAAACCGCTTAGATTCAATTTAAAAGCGAAATACAGACATCTCGAACGAGGAAACAAATACATTTCTTGCATGAATGATCCATTGATCCATATAATCAGTATATTTTTTTGCAGAAAATGTCTCAATTTATAGAAGTACCTCATTGATGCAGTCTAACTGTTGGTCATAGGTTATCCCTTCAAAAAGTGTGAGAAATCCTTTTAGTGAGTGGGAGGTAAAGTCCAGGAAGAAAAGAAAAATGACAGAAAGATACTTTCAATCTCAACTGCCGATCTTCAAAGACTAGTGCATGGGAAAATGAATATTTGTCCGGACATTTTGTTGCTCGTAGAAGCAAGGGTCAATATGGTTAATAAAATTAGCGAATTATATATAGACACATTTTGAACTCCTGCTAGCGCCGATGAGGAGGAGGTTCAACCGGCCGAATATCTGGGACACTCGTGGGTAGAAATCGCTCATTTCTAGTGCAGGCCATTGTCGTGGAATTTGGCGGCGATATTTATCAAGATGTGTATCATTTGAAACGAGGGCAAATCGATCCTCGGAGAATAAATACATGCATTTTGCTGCTTCTATTTTTTAGAATGGTGGAACCTCAATTCCCATCAAAACTATAACGTGTCTTGACTTGGCTTGAAAATTGGAACTAGCATGGAAAATTGCATCGGATTTTCCTACTTGCCACCCATGGGCCGCCTGTATTTTGCCGCCTCCTTCTCATCCGTTTTGAAACATCAATAAAAACAATCAAGTGAATGTACCAGCGGGGGAGGGGTGCATAGGACGCGTTTACTCATGTTGAACACATTTTTTGGGAAAGCCCTGTCAACACTACTAGCAAAAGGTCCCGGAACTTTGCGCAAAAGTCAAGTTTCGTAAACCTATCCCTAATGGACAAGGCCTTCCACTCATAAGAAATGAACGAAAAAATTATGAGAGGACAAACACAAAATTTGGTTTAATGATTTTAACTTCCGCCGCCGCGACCCCTCGACCGCACCATGTTTGGCGCAATGCGTGAAGTATTCACGCAGTCTTGTAGGCGCTATGCGTTTCACGCGGACCGCACTGTTTGGCGCAATGCGTGAAGTATTCATGCATTCTTGTAGGCGCTATCCGTTTCACGCTGACCACAATAACCGCACTGTGTTTGATGCAATTAGAAATTACTATACTCTCAAGAAATGAGAGATTTTGTAACCTTTTCTCGTTTGTAATTTTTTTTTCTAAATCCGATTTTTTTATACCTACATTTAAAAAAATTGCAAAATTTGCCGCCCCCTAGGTTTGCCGCCATGGGCCGTAGCCTATGTGGCCACCCCCTTAATCCGGCCCTGGGTTCGATGTATTGTTTGGTTCAAAACAATAGAACATAACCTCAAACCAAAATTTTAAGATATTTGTCAGAAAAGCTGGCAATGAGAAATCTCAGGGCGATTTTACTACTCTTGGCGTATTACTACACTGGAAAAAAAAGCCGCTTGGATCTTGAGTCCAGACTCTTAAAAACACTGACAAGAAAAAATACTCTTGATTCTATCCGATTTGTCCTCTTAATTTAGGCGGACTTCCTATTGATTTAAGCAAAAAGTCCGACTGAATCAAGAATATTTTTTCTTGTCAGTGTTTTTAAGAGTCTGGACTCTAGATCCAAGTGACTTTTTTTTCCAGTGTAGGTACTCATGCGAATCGGAAATCTATCACCAAAAACCCGTTCCGTCAGATTACTCAATTGACTTTTGAGGCTATACGTTTATGTTTTGAACCAACCGATATCGATACAATCTCACCAGTT